TTTTTTTTTTTTTTTTTTTTTTTTTTTTTTTTTTTTTCAATCGCAAGGCTTCGGTTTTCCCCATGATTTTTGCTTTTGGTGTTGAGTAAAAAAAGGTTGATTTTTGTTCTCCAAAGCATCAGAACACTTTAAGCTAGGACATTGGAATAGGTTCCCCTTATTTTGGAAACCTTGGAATTATGGGGTTCCAATAAAGAGGTTGTGAACAGAGTCTGGTCTAATATTACTTCAAACGTCTGGCTTTATTTAAAGCCCACCACCAGCTTTCTGTTGAAGTGAAGCGTGAAAATCCAACTAAAAATAAAATTGTAATGAATGAAAATCAATTGGAGATGTAAAATTGATTTCGAACGCATTTTTCGTTGTCCTGGATCGCCAACTTTCATCGATTCCAGAAACATTCGTGCATAATATGCTTTTTGCCATCATATAGATTTACAATTGCCGGATTCTTCTATAGCTTGCTGAAGGGATTTCATAGGCTGACAAAAGAAAATTCGCTAGTGAAAGAAAACAATGACACGTATACAATGATTTCCTGTGTCATGGCGGTTCCACGCCTGTTTTCACTGTTGAATATTAGTTTTTTGTGAGCGGTGACAAATGGATCTCATGGTGTTTCGTTCGTAGTACAATATATCATGTTGTTTCTGTATGCACGATAAATTACACTGGGTGAACATAAAAGTTGAAAAATTGTCGACTACAGTAATTGTAAATCTTCAGCGCTAAAGAAGCTTAGTCTCATATCGCGTAACATAGAATGATTCAAATTCATCTCGTGAAATACGTTATATTTTTTCAATGATCATTATATTGCAATCGCATTTCCGAAATGACAAAAATGTGGGGTTCAAATAGAAAAGGTTAAAAATTAAATAGTACCGAGTAAAAACACGTTTTCATGAAATTTCAATGCAATCAACGCATCTGAACGTTTGTGTTCGGAAAAATTGGCAAGTGTCCTGTGAGTAGGGTTATGACCTGAATTGGCTGATGGATTTTTGAAACTTAAATCTCAAAAATCCATCAGTTCATGAAAATTGAAAATGGAGACGATTCATTTGAAACAGGAAGGCTGCTTTGAAATTGAGAATAACAAGGATAGAGTTTGGAAAAATACATAAAAATAATGAAAAATTAACTGAATCAGACTGCTTTTTGCACACAAGACACAAAATGCACGTATATTATAGACCAAAGTACAGCCTGTCAAATTGCTTTTCGAAGAGCATTTTCATTGCTTGAAAGCTGCCAGGTTTTGAGAGATCTCAAAATTTTTAATGAAGAATTTGATGGATTCGTTCGGAATCGGAACCCATGCGTCTCACAAAATGATTACCTGTCCATTCCGAAAATTGTGGGATCAGTTGGAATCAATTTTCCATGCTTTCGTTCAATCATTAATTTTTCTTCATAGAGGGAAATCACGACAGGCTACACTTACAATGCATACATACATGTTCATTTGCGTTCAGGAGGTCATTGGAAAGTCTAAAAACTTGTCCATGAACCACAACTAATAAGTAACATATCTATTTGAGTGCGCGCATGTACTTTTCACAAGGTGCAATAGTTTTCAATTTAATAGAAGATATGAGTTTAAAATGATTGTTTACCAAAAATGGGATAAAAATCTATCCCTGCGTAAGACGCATATTCCAGTTTACCCACATTCATTGTGTATATTTAAAAAAACAAAAATTGTGTACATTAAAAATAGCAGTAATTGGTGATACTTTTTTAAATAACATGTGAATGTTGAACTCGATTTAAAAAGGATTAAAAGATAATTAAATTCAAAATGATTTTTGTGGGAATTTTTTGATTAGATGAAGATATTTAAATATGTATGAGTTCGAATATAAGTGTTTCTACAAAGTCGAGTCGATTTGATGACGAGGAGGAATCAAATAAGTATAAACAGCAATTGGCCGGTGCGCGACCGGCCGAAAAGATGAGCGCTAGCTTTGTTCTTTCACACAATATTCCTTTCAGAAGATTTTTACAAAACACTTTTCACAAGAATCTTCAGTTTCATGGTAAAAAATGATTCAATAATACACACGTCGCGTTCAGTCAAGGTTCGGCACGCTAGTGTCGAGTCTTGCCCAATTTTCCTCCTTATATACTTCATTTTCTCTTTAGAGAGCCGTATATCGCGTATATACGCAGTTCCGGCGGAAGGCAGCTGCAAACAGTCATATATTCTTATTCTGGATACGAAATTTGTGCGTAACGAATTTCTTCCTTTAGAATTTAGATTCATGGGAGTTTTTTAGGATTTTCAGTTGGCTTCGAGAGCCTTTTTTAGTGCTTTGTTGACAGCGAAATCGGAGCAGGGGCAGAAATCTGTGCCATATGTTGGCCGTAAAAGGTTTCCGAACTCCTTGCCCGGCTGGCGGGCTATTTGTCTTTCTCGATATGGGGTTTCGCTTTAATGGTTTTGGGGCTATCTCTTTGAGGGTTTTATTGCCGCCTCTTGTGTTTGTGCGCGCCAATTCTTGTTGGCGCGAATTACTCAGATTTCCATGTCACTTCGCGCAGGGGGTATTTTTCGCGGAAAATCCCCACAAAATCCCCCCTTCGTTTGAGGAGTCGAGCCATATGTTGGATTGCTCTGAAAACGAATATTTAAACGCTGCGAAAAATTTGTCGTCTTGTAGTTGTCTTCTGCTGGTGTCTTCGTCGGGTCCGTTTTTTCTTTTTGGGGAGGGTCCTTCCTGGAGTTCTTGGTTGTTCAAGGTTTGATCCTTAGTCCTTGGCGACGAAGAATTCTGTGGTAGTGCCTTCCAGGAGTACGAGTTTTTGTAAAAGGAATTAGGTGTATTCTCCATCGCTGGCCAGGCGTTGGATTATGCACCTTTCTTTTTGAATCCCCTCTTCCCATTTCTAATGGGAATACCCTATTTAAAGGGTTGCGTTTTTTTTTTTTGTCGTGTCCTCTCTTGAGGAAGTGTTTCTTTTGAGTGACTCTCATAAGTTTTCAAACTGCAAAGTGAATTTTTTCCTTTTCTTTATAAGTGAGAGAGAGGAAATATCGTTTTTTCTGTTCGATTTATGCGATACTCAGCTGGCAGAGATTTTTATTTTTCGTCCCTGCTTGCTGACGTATCGTGTAATTTGCTCAGATTACAGTCTTCCTCCTTTTTTCTGAGTTTATCTTTTTGATACCCCTTTTTTTTGTAGGACTTCTCTTCGTTTTTTAATTCTGTGGTTTTTGATACTCCTTTTTTAGGAAAAAAGAAATCGTTGACCCTTCTTCGTGAAAGAGATCATTTTTTCTTTGTTCTGAGAATTTTTGAGAAAAATTTTGTCTTCATTTGAGATTAAATTATGGAGGGTTCTTCTGAGAAGTCTGTGTCTGCTGGAGGAGTTCTGCTTGAGGAGGGAGAGAGGGTTGATTCTCCCGAAGCTCAATCAGGAGTGATCGGTTAGTGATATAATCGAACTTTCTTGTTGAGAACTAGAAAAATTTTCTTCTCTCTTTTTTTTGTTCCAAATAGCTGATTCTGCTTTGGCGGTCCACCCAGCATTGGAGGTTACTGTTACTCTGCCTCAGTCTGCTAAGGAATTGGCAGAGAAGTTGGCTCTGCTTTCGGAGGAGAGTCTTGGGCGTCTTTCTGAATTGATCCCCTTTGTGGAGTCTGAGAGAAAGGCTTCACTGGGAAAAGCTGGTTTAAAGGCTGAGGTAAAGCGTCTTAGAGACAAATCCCAGAAGTTTGCTGAGGAAATTTCCTCCCGTCGAGGCGAAATTCGCCACATGGTTCGAGAAGATGTTGAGTTAAAATTAAAGAAGGAGAAATTGGCGCAAAGCAAGCTCGTCAAGGAAAAGCTCGTCGCTGATGAGGTTAAGCTAGTTCGTGAAATAAATGACACTATGCTTAATATGCTGGCCCGTCATGCGGGCACATTTAGAGGCCTTTTGAGTGGAATTTCGGAACTCTATCTGGCCGAAAATGTTGGATATGTCGAGAGTCTCCGAGGTAATTTTTCCTTTCTTAATTTTAACTTTACGTTGTGTTTTATGCTTTTTTTTTTATTATCATTTTTCAAGATGGAGCAAGTGGTACCATTCGATCCTGGCGAGTGGGGAAAACGGTAGTTTACTCTGGGTCAATTGAGGCAATTCAACAAATGTGGTTCGAGGATGCTCGACCCGATGCCATCAGCCGAAAGAACCGTGACGTTGTCATGTCTTTATTGGCTTCTATTGAAGTACCTCTCTTGGAGGAGGCGCCTAAAAGGCGTCGTATTGTGGGATCTGCTTCCTCTGGTGTTGTCCCCCCAAGTGAGGGGTTAAAGGAACGTCCTAGTCTTCCT